CTCCCCTGCCCGCGGCGCGCGTTTTTCGACCGCGGCCGCCGCGGTCATGACCGCGGGCCCGCGGTCGACCGCATGGGCCGCGGTCATGCCCGCGGTGACCGCGGCCGCCGGGGATACATAGCTACTAACTTAGGGACATAGATATATTCTCAATCATAATCATAATCACATACTCTTATTGTATACATTACCGTCAGTATCATGACTTACATACCACATACGCCTCCCTCATATAATATAAGGTTTGTCGTTTTGCCTAGACCATCAACCTGCACTTAACCTGGGTTCGTTCTCTAAGGACCCCGGTAGGCAGCCGAGATCCCCGGCAACGGCGCCATCTGTCGAGCGCATTGGTCCCGCAGGGGGACCCTCTCGACCGCATCACGCAGAATTTTGCACAACTTCGTCGTAGAGCACGGTTTGCCGCTCCGGCCGAGTGCMCCAGCCGTACCTCTCGCGAGCCCCTACGACAGGATAGGGTCACGCGAGGCACACATTACCTCCACCCGCGGGAGATGTCACCATCCCTTGGGTGGGCGTATCCTTGCCGAGCTACCGAAACACGTGCGAAAGTTTTTTGTATGCAATCGCAGAGGTGGCCCAGCCCAGGGCGTTTCTCGTTCGCTGTAGCATAGGGGATGCGCGCGGTCAACGCCCCTCAATCGGACCCGCACACGAATCAACACATTGGGGTGCTTAGGTCCTAAGCACGACTCTTCGTCGGTCGACTAGGACGCTTTCCACTCACCACGCGTTACACCATACAAAATTAAAAAATACACACAAATGCAAAACAAACTTTCCGGGTCCCTTCAGTATCCGACTCATTACCTTTTAATACAGAAATCGGTTAAGCTCGTGCGCGAGACCTAAGGATAAAACCGCGCGGATGCTAGGCCTCTCTCATATCGACTAGCAATGCATGACTTCGCAAGAATGGCATACTATGTAATGCCCATAATCAAGCGGTCCCTCATGGGTTTGAGTACCGCTTATGACACTCAAGTGTCAAGCTAAGTATCGTGAAGGTCTACCCCTTCACGATATTGCACGGCTGAAGGTAGCCGTGCGGCCTCCGCGGCACCTCCGACCTTTAGGCTGAGTGTCCCAGTGGGCAGGGCAAATAGGCTTTGCATGGGGGGTGATCGCTTCCATGCAGAGTCTAGGACCTGGAATCTCCTGGACAAGGACCTCGAATCCAGGCCCGGGACTAACGTCCGACCAAAAAATCTCTTTAAGAAGCATACCACAATAAAGGGGGCTTTCCTTCCTTTTTCGGTGTCGACCCCACTTAAACCCTTAAGCGTGGGCGCCTCAAGCCACGCGAACACCCAAACATAGGTATGTGTATATATATACAGTGAGGAATAGGTATGCGACGATCACTTCCCACAATCACGGTGGGACTCCTCACGACCATTATAGTGATGCTAAGCAAGGGTAGTTCAAATAGTCAAACAAAAGTTTGTGTGGTATCAGACGATCACTCTCACAATAGTTGTGTGGCTTGTCCATCCGCATTCACACAATACTCAGACTGTCACCAAACTCAATTAAAGGAATCTTATAAGTATACCTGCAATCGCACAAAGTTCAAACAACAACATCACACACACTAAGGGAGTCAACTTTACTGCTTTCTGCGACTCACAGCCTGTCTTATGCATACAAGCCCCAACCAATTTCCACCATCCCTCGATAAAGGTACTAAGTCTTTAAAAATGGCCAATTGGAAAGAAATTTTGGTGAAAACCCCAAGAAACATAAAACCCCACAAGAGCCAAGAGCTTAGGTTGAGGTGCAGAAGCAGGGAAGTTGCGTCGTAAACCGACCTATTATCAAAAGATAATAGAAACATGATCCTTCGTAGGGTTAGGCCGAACGAATCAAACCTTCAATCGAATTCGTGGACCTGCATCACAGTTCAGGCCAAAACGGACCAATACTATGTTTCAAGGAGAACATGCTCCATATCGAGGCCTAACTCCACTACTAACTTTCTTCCTCACCTTCTTCCAATAATTTTCAGAAACTACTGAAAATTTTAGTAGCATCTCCCCTAGACTGGGCGGATTGCCAAATTCTTCCTAGCAGAAAATAATCTAACTCTCCAAACTCTACAAAATTTCGGCAGCGCTTCCCGTAGGAAAAGTGCCTTTTCAGAATTTTCAGGTGTCCAAAAATGACTAAGTCCTTCAGATTTGTAAAACTTTCGGCAACGCTTCTCGTAGGAACAGGAAACTGCCAAGCTTTATACAAAGCTGAAAATGCAAAGACAAAACACAACTGTACTCGGGACCAACTTATGACACTTACATGATAGTTAGAACCGGACACAGTCTGCACGATCCCTTCTTGAAGGTGGCACCGTGAGCTAACACCGATCCTAACTCCTCGTAGGGTCAGTCCTATCTTATCCCTAGTTTCCCTCCCAGCATCCATCTCACCTACCTATAGCTCCAGCACTCCGCGAGCCTACCAAATGAGAAATCCCCAGAAATAGTCCCCCAAAAGACATACATAGGTGAGCGCAAAAACATATCTCACCAACCCGCAGGTTCCCGTTCCTGGTTGCATAGTTCGTTCAAAAATCCTCGTTATTCCCTTTTTACCTGAGTGGGGATCTGGGCCGCCCGGGTGACCGGCAGGGTCCCGGGCGGCCTGGCCGGGCAGGGCACTCAGTTGGGGGTCGGGCCCCCCGAGCGCAATCACCTGTCGGGCGATTTCGGATCCCCTTCAGACCCCCTTTTTGTGTGTGTGTGTGTGTGTGTGTGTGTGTGTGTGTGTGTGTGTGT